CAAAATAGGAACGCGAGCGCAAACGACGAGAGAGCTGTCAATGGCGCCTGATTAACCGACTAAACGTAATACACGCTACTTTCATTGTCGCGCTACATCTTAATTGGACTCTTTAATTTGACAACATTATCTAATGCTTCGTTCATAAAGAAAGGTTTTGGATACCTGGGATTTTAGGCTCTTTATGGTGTCTATTGTAATGAAATATTATATTATTTAATAAAAAATGTTATTAAATTATTATGCTCAAGCAGATATATATAATATTTACTAAGAAATAAGTGAAAAGGAACAGAAACATAACATTTAATAGAGAAAACTGTCGTAAAAATGGATACAATTTTATTTTCTTATGAAGTATTTTGAGTTATCGAAATGTCAACTATAAAGAACTCTTTTTATGGTTTGTTTACAAATAGTTAACTACCTAAACAGACGGAGTATAGTAATATTCAAGACCTCCGGGCGAGAGCCCGGCAGGCGCAGTTGCGACCACTCGGCCAACGAGGCAGTTTTAGTGAGGCTCACATTTATTGGTATAAAGGGTATTTGTTTATCTGATTAATGTCGGAATACTCAAACGTTACTCTTTAAATCGCGCTTAAGTATAGTTCTGTCTCTACAAATTCTTTGTGAAATGACAGAGATGGTATGATATTTAAGCACGACTTAAAATTGAGTAACGTTTCAGTATTCCGGCATAAGCATAGTTCTGTTATTCATAGACTGTTGTATGTTGACTTTTTATTTTTACTTTAACTTTGTAAAAAAAATGTTTATACAACATGATGTAAAAATAATATTGAAAAAGTAAATCTTACTTTTCAGCGTGGAAAACACAATAATAAAATAACATATCTGTACATTAACTAAAAAAGTGTGTAGGCTGCGCGACATCGCCGCGACCGCGCTCGTGAGGAAGACCCCCTCTGTGGTTCGAAACTAGTAGAGCTCTTCTCAGTATATTTACGTGACTAACCCGCGATTTTTAGTTAATTTAGTATATCTCACAAGAGTTATTATAAAAACATCTGGACACGTTTTTTAGCATGAAATAAAGTTTTCTATTTCTTTCTAAATGACTGTGTGAACTTACAATAAGCGTAATGTCTCCTTTAGTGTCCTCGGCGAAGACGTTGGTGCAGCATTGAGTGACGGCGGCGCGCGCCCTGGCGTCCCTGCAGTCGAGGTGCGGCACGACGCTCTGCGCGATGTTGGTCGCGTAGTTGAACTGAGGCCGCGCCTCCAGCAGGCCGCACAGACAGCGCAGCGACACTAGCGCCAGGCTCATCGTCGGCTCGTCTACTTTCCTGGGAAATTATTTTTATATATTTTTTTTACACTACGATTTTCCCCTGTGTCGTAGGTTCGTTTACAAACACACAAGTTCACATACATATGGCACCCAGATCCGAAACAACAATTTGTGGATCACACAAAAAGTTTGTTGCCCGGTTGCCCAGCCACCGCACCAACCGTGCAGTCAAAATTATGAATGTTTTATAACTGAATACCTACATTATGCCGAGGCTCCTTATTCGGCAGTCGTGCTTACGACCATTTGACCAAAGACATAGTCTTTATATTCAATTTCGAGTCATATATTATAGTTATTGCTAAAATACAAATGTAAAGAAATATGTACCTGGTATCTCCTTTTTTCCGACGCAACACTCCAGCAGCCTTTTCTAACCTCTGCAAGTATCTTTTGTAGAACTCTAGCAACTCCTTCTCATACTTATACAGCGCCAAGGTGTCTTTCTTTACTGTACAAATTATAAAACATGTGTTAAATCAGCTTTTTATAATAAAAAAAAGTATAAGATAAGAGTAAGAATTTGAGATTGAGAATAAATTAAGTATATGTAGGTATTCTAAATTTTGTAGCTATTAACATGACAAGTATGAAGTAAAAACATAATAGAAAACTTACATTTAATATTGGAGTAATCTTGATGCCTTATCATGTACTCGGGTAGAATGTCCTTGAACACTTCAAAGGCTGAAACTGTAGCCAGTTTGCGGACAGAGATGAGGTTCAATGACCCATCCTTCAGGCGATCTTCCATCAGGTAGAGGATTGGAAACAGGTTTTTAAGCTAAAATAGGATTTAATATATGTTACAGTATATACATTTTGTTTTGATTACATCATATTACATAACATTAAAACTACGGAGAATGTAAATGGAATTCAAATTTTTTTTTATACTTGATAAGTCCATGTTTGGCAACCATCTTTCTTGGTGCTTGGTGGAAGCGATGATGTGGCCGATAGGGAACACATCTACCGATGAGGAACTTGTTTACTCGGAACTTGAAGACACCCAAGTCATATTTTATCCCAAGTAATATAGCATTAAAAACATTAGTTTCGTGATTAAATTTCCTGCACCTAATAATGAATAATAAGGTATACAGAAAAACACACTGCCATTTTAAAGACCCTACAGAAAATATTTTTATAAATTAATTAAAATTAATCTTTTAAAATATAATTTAATTGAATTTCACACCACTGTGAATACACCTTTATCTTACAGTTGCACTGATGATTCACTGCATTGATCTTAACGCAAACAAACTATAACTATAATATTACTAGATGCACATTACACTAAACCCAACATACCTTTTTCTCTGGATTTTCAAGCAGAGAAGAGCATAGAGCTCCAATCCTCAGTTTATCATGCTGCAGCTTGTTTCTTCTTGCGGCCATCAGCTCCACAGCGGTCACCACCTTCTCCTCGTCCCCTGCCATCTCCACATCCTCTGTGCGGTCCATACCGGAGTCAGACTCTGAGTCCTCATCATCTGATTGTTTGTCCGTTTGTTTGCTTTTAGCTGGTTTTTGTGCTTCTTCCTCTTGTTCTGATTCTGAGTCTGTGAACAAGTTATAAATGTTTTAGTTTTGTAAATTGGAATGCATAAAGACTTTTTAGTACACATCAAGCAAAAGAAATGTCTGCTCTGCAAAGTACATATCATTGTCATCATCAGTGTCAGTGGGGATTATAAACCCCTCTTTTGTTAATGAAGCAAATAATAGTCCAAATGGATTGGACCTGGCAAAGGACATGTATCACAAATTTATTTACGTTTAAGTTTTTCAATTCCAATAAATTAAAAGAAAAACTCATATAATAAATTATGTCTCACAATAGGTAATATACAAGAATAAATTCTGTTTACCTTCGCATTCCTCAGCCCTCTCCATCAGCCCCTCTTTAGTTTTAATGGGTAACAACGGCCTCATCTTCTTGGCCGGCCTCTCTGCTTGTTCCTTCTCATACTTGCCCTCCACATCACTGTCAGAATCTGAGAGTCCAGCACTCTCAGCACCACTGTCACTGCCACCACCTACAGTTGGCTTTGGGAACTTTTCTTTCTTTTCTCTTTTACGCTTCCTTGATCTGTAATTGAATGAATTATTAAGCATTTTTAATGTTTCTTAGTTGGTGGATCTTGTTAGGGGTTGGTACAGACAATACAATAATTTAAAATAAATTGTAAAAAGATAAGTGTTGTCTTAAAGAAAATCTTAAGAATAATTTGATAGTAAACCTTTTGCCTGGCTTTTCATTTTCTGGTATATTAGCTAGTAAAGTAGGCTGTTTGGAGAGTCTGCTCATGAGGTACTGCTGCTCTTCATCGTCTAACATGTCTCCGAACTGATCTTCAGATTCTGCCTCACTTTCACTGCTGTATTCTACAGTGGGTTGCTGTGTTGGTTGCTTCTGCTTTTGAACGTGCGTTCTATGTCTTTGCAGCTTCAGTTGACCCTTCTTACGCATTTTATTCGTAGTCTGATTATTCCTTTTCACCTTACTAATCTTAATTTTACCTTTTTTCTGTAACAAGAACATGTTTTTTAATATTTCTCAATGTGTTTTGGTTAGGAATGCTTTTTAAATGTGAACGTGAAATCTTTAAGGAAACTTAATTGGTAATTAGAAGAAATACTTACAGCCATTTTGAGAGTTTGTATTAATAACTTTTATACAGTAAAAACAGTAAATAAATAATTTCTTCGTATGAAAATAACAAACCAACGTGGGTTATTTCTTTTGACAGATTTTTGACAATTCAACTGTTAGGTTGCAAGCAAAATAAATTAATGACCTGAGTATTGTCAGCATAAAAAAATTTAACATTTTCATTGATCACATTATTGAAGAATGTAATTGGTATTTAACGTTTTTATCGTATTGTTTTATTGAAGATACAACTTTTCACTATAATTTTCAAAGTAACAATTTTGTTTCTGCAAGTTTAAGAAACTTAAAGTTTCTCAAAAGTTTGAAAAGTTTGGAACGCCTTCAAACTTTCTAAATGTCAGTTACAAAAGGCCTCGAAACTTTCAGATATCTCGTTTTTCTAGTTTTCTAAAATAAAAGTCTGCTTTTAACGAACTTAATTATTATTTTCCTTCAATATCATCATTGTGTTGATCCATAGAAAACCGAAATGAGTTTGTTTTAGTGAGAATAAAAGTTTGTGAAGTTATTGTGATGGTGCCTCAGCAACAACGGAGAAGACGTCGCCGTGCGGCTCTGGCTCGGACAGCTGAGCGCCGTGTTGTTGTCGCGCGTGGAGCTGGGGGCTTCGGCTTTACGATAGCAGGCCAGCGACCTTGCGTGGTATCAGCTGTGGCTGCTGGCGGACCGGCGGAGCGCGCTGGTCTACGTGCAGGGGATGCGCTGTTGGCTGTGGATGGGGCGAGTGTAGCTAGAGCTCCACATGCCTCCGTGGCTCGTTTAGTGGCTGCTGCACCGGGAGCGATAGCTCTGTCAGTGTCTCCTCGTGAGGCACCACCTACTGACACTGAGGATACGGAGCCGGATGAGCGAGCGAGGACTCGGAGGCGACATCCTCCGCCCAGACGTAGGCCTCAAGCTATGCTGCATCACCCTGGTATGTTAAAATTTGATGCAAACTGCAAATTACTTAAATAGTTTGTTATTGTATACTTATAAATACATATACTTAAATAAACACAAATGAAGCTAACAGTAATTTTTCTTGTTGTTTTGATGTTTAATGTGGTGGGATAATATTTTTCTTACTAAGCTTTGCCAAGGTGGTAGATTCTATTATCAAATAATAAACATTATCAAGCCAATTGTTAAAAAATATTACTTAAACAAGAATCTCTGACTAAACTTTTTCAGGAAAATTTGCTGAAAAATTTGTGTGAATTCATTAGTTTGTCAATTAATCTCCTTCTTTAGATTAATTTGAGAACTTTTATCTTTCTATAATGTTGGATACCTATTTATTATTTACTGTTTTTCCAGATGGCTAGACAACAGTATACAGTTACGTGAGTGTATTACAAATAGTTGTCACTGGCAATGTTGTGTGTAGCTTGCACTGTGCACTGTGCACTTACATGTTGTGATGATACTCATACACTCATGCATTATGTTCTATGTTCTCTTGTCTCATAACACATTTGCAATATGTTATGTTTGTTGGCAGCGGTTAATTTTGACTAATCTTTTTTTTATAACATTGCCCCACACTAGGATTTTCTCATGTATTGTGGGTGTGTTTACAAACATGCAAGTTCACATACATCACACCCAGACAGCAAACAATAATTTGTGGGTCACACAAAGAGTTAGTTATCAGTATGTAGTAGCACGGAGTCTGGAAATGTGCCCGGTATATGGCAATAGGCTCACCCCCTATTACATGGTACTCATAACATAAATACTTAGTGCAAATTGTACAGTTGCATTAAGTGCCGAAATGTGCACCTCTGCCTACCCTTTCGGGGATAAAAAGGCGTGATGTTATGTTATGTATGTGTAAAAGAGTTGATCCATGTAGGAACCGAACCTGTGACATGTTGCACGGCAATTGGTTAATTGGGCTTCCGGTAACCTCACTCACCCGACAAAACACAACAGAAATGTTGCTTCATGTTGGTTTCCTGTGAGGCTAGACCGGAGTAATACACCATTTCATTCAAGCTGGTCCATTTGTGACGAAGCTTGGCTCTCCCACACTTATTCCCACACAAATTTCATATATTCCAATAACATGCTGTGTGGATTTCTTATGATTGCTTAACATTCTGGTTTGAATAGAAATATTTTCACACTTAGTTAAATCTCATTAACACTGATTGTAATTGCCTTGCACCTTGAACTGCATATAAAATTCTGTAATATTTATTAAAACATGTTTGTTTCATTATTAATTTATTCATTTTATTTATTACTGCTATGCTAATACGGCTTAACACCAATTATATTAAAACACACACAAAGAGAAATTAAAAATAATCAAACAGTTACAATACCAGAAAAAGGAGAAAAAGCACATGAAGCACACTTTTACACCTACTATTGTGTCTCTCTGCATCACCCTAAGGTTGACTGTTAGAGAATGCCACTAGGCATTAAGTCCGCCATTGTACACAAGAAGTGTAAATAAATAAAAAAATAAAGAAACAAAACATTAAAATAAATAAAAAACAAAAAAGTCACACAGATACAATAGTAGAAGACAAACAAATTCATTTACGATTGATTTATATATTCCTTTCTCTTTTAATGTACATAAGCTGCAACTAGCACATGTTGTTTTTAATTGTTTCTCTGGTGATAAAAACTGACAATGCATGTGAATGTTCTGTTCATTCTCTCTCTTATTGTGTTCATATTCATAGACTATCATAAAATTATTATACCACCGTTATACATGTCACTGGCTCCTCATAGAATTGTAAGGTTAAGCTTTTTAACTTTAAAAAGCTTAACATAAAATTAATTGAATATCTTGCATAATGGAACTTTGTGACATTTTGGTAGAAAATGGTAAATAATTTTTATGGTTTCATGATACTCATGCTTAATAGTGGTTAATATTTACAATTAATATTTTTGTATCCATAGTATGCAAGCAATCTTGTAATATTTTAACTTCTATGATACCATTATATTTAGCACTTGTTTTATTATTATACTTATCAAAAAACGTATTAAAAAAAAAAAAATATTATTATAAATTTTTATAAAATTTAATTAAACGTAAAAAAAAATATATTACGTACAAAATAAATCAATATTCCTGTCATTCATTTTTCCAGGCTGTCACGCAGCACCGAGTACGTCTGGTGTTAACGAAATACTTCAGAACCTGAGCAGGGCTCAGCTAACTCCCAACCACGCAGCCAGGCTTGAGTGCCGCGCCGTCGTCGGCTACCTCGGCACCATAGAAACACCACAAGCTGCTCCCAATGCTGCCCCTGGAAATGTACGAACAGCCGTGAGAAAACTTCGACAAGAGAGGCGTCCAGCTGCACCTGTGTTACTATCTGTCCTTCCAAACTCTTTAGTACTTCGTCGCCCAACCGGTCAAGTTTTAGCTCAATATCAACGTGAGAGAATTGTGTACGCGGGATGTGGTTCTGACGCTGATAGAAGGTACTTCGGCCTTGTGACGTCAGCTGAAACTGCTGAGGCTGAAGCCTCACACAGTTGCCATGTGTTCGCGGTGGACCCCAGAATGGCAGAACACGAGGCCCATGCGGCTAGAGCTAGAGAATTCCAAATCGTGTGCACGAGAGACCCAGTAGCCGAGAGATGTCTGGAGTTCCCACCATCAGCAGAGTATGTTATTGGCGTTATCAGAGGAATGTACTCTTTACCAGCAGAGGATTGCGCTAGCCCTAATTTGCAGCAGATCTCGAAACTTACGATAAAAGGAGATAGTCCTGCATTGGGTAACTTTTCGAGATGTAATAGACCTGTGTTCCGCGTGCCGCGAGACAGACGGCCTTGTAGACACGAGGAGAGAGTAGAAGCTCAGGATTTCGTTGCTAACTCTCCTCAACCGAGCAACCACAGCGAAGTAACAACTACATCGAGTAACAGCGACTCTGGTATCGGCTTTCATAACGATTGTCGGAACATTGCAGATAGAATCTTAGTGGTTGATTTTGCTGGCCAACAACCGGCACCGAACAGATTTCGGCAAGACATGCCGCGACGGCCAATCGGGCTTGTCGGTTGCAGTAGCTTCGAAGCTGATGGGTCCTTCCTGTCAAACACGACCCCTGTCGTAGACGGCTTTGGAGGGCAGGGGAGACCTTTGAACCTGGACGATGTGATCCTCAACGCGAATGACCTTCAAACCGTCCGCCACGTAAGTCCTCGAAACGAAGACGATAACTATAACTACAATAATCTATACGGGAACATACCTTCTAGTTCTCGAGGGAACCCGGGCTATGTGAATGGAGCAGTTTATGATCAGGTATACACTGAAACAGAAGGTCACCATTACGAGTTCATTCCACCGCAATTAGACATGGACTTGGAGATAGATAGAGTGGCAGAAACATTTAACTCAGTGGAGATCTATGAGGAGAGGCCTCGACAGCCTCCGGAGTGGCAGTCGACGGAGTCAGTTGAGAATGAGACGGTGATATCTGGCGGGACCAGTAAAGCCAGCATGGACACTGTGTCCATGTACTCTTCTAGGTCTCATGAGGAAGCCAGACCATCTCGCAGGAGACATATGCAAGCCTCGCTTGATGATATGCTGGTCTTGGGATTAAGAGATCCACCTCCAGTGAGAGACAAGGATGATGATAATTTCGTACATCCCGCAAGTATCAAATTCAAGGTGAGATATTGCTTTTCTTTTTTAATATGATGCTTTGTAGAGACTAAGAAGCGTTATGGTCTTCTAATATCATCTTATTAATAATACAACTAAACAGTTAACTCCGTATTTGCTAAATTCAGAATGTTATGTGTGTTTATGAAATAGCTATAAATATTGTTTGTTTTGTTGAACAATAATATCCTATTTGAATGGTCACGTAAATAACATCGCCAAAGTTGTTTTAAAGAAAAGATAGATGGCGTTACTTACCTCTAAACTCAATACATATATATGTTTTAATTTATCTTTGTTATACAGGAATTACGAATCTATTATTATTTACTTAAAGTGGGAATTGAATCCCCTTGACTTGGATAACGAGATATGCAATAATGGAACGGGAATAAAAGAACGCATACCTAACTGTGCATTCCATTCCATTATTCCATATCATGATGATAATTCCATTGCCATTGTTTCCACAGGTACGCAAATCAATGAAGCCTCTAAATATAATATCGAAGACAAAGAACATGCTATCAGGCAAGGATCGGGAGCGGGAGAAGGAGGAGCGGCGCCGGGCGCTGAGCGCCAGTGCGGGCGATGTTTGTGGACCTAGTCGACAGCCTGACATACTACCGGCTGCTAACAGCGAGCCTGACTTGAGGGGACAGGTTAGTGATACATTATATTTTATTGGACTACACAGTGATGCAGGTTTATGATTATATTTATACTACAAAGCTTACGGGTTAAATGATGTCTACACTACACTTGTAATGACCAGAACCCTGAAAATGATAGCACAGTTAAATTGTTATCACTTATACCAGAATACTTAAATACTACTCAATTTTGTTATACTTAAATATCGTGCCATCTCTGTCATTATACAAAAAATTTGTAAAGACAGAACTATGTTTAAACGCGACTTAAAGTTGAGTATCGTTTGAATATCTCAGCGCTAGTTATCAGAATAAATGTGCAAGAAAACTGGAATTATTTGAGAGGGTGATACTTGTCGGGTCAAGCCAACCCGCTCAAGTCGCATATGACAGCTAGGTTTTACAATCAAAACTACATAAGCTTCAATTCTTCTGAACTTTATTCCACAAGCTCGCTCCGATTAGACATTCTGAAGTACCTATACCTACTTTATGAGACAATCCTTAATGTCAATTTATAAGGGCAAGTGGCAAGAAAAGAATTTTTTTAAGGGGGGAAAATCATTAAATTACTTCTCTCCACCTGTGTGAGGCGGGAGGGAGTATCCACAACCCCGTTCCTACTCCTGCACTTCGAGCCGTAGCCCCGGTAATCCGTTAAGTTCTCGGCGACTCCGGCAAGAGAAGATAGAATTGCGTTTAAAAGTATTGAAATAAGCTTACACGTTAATTATTATGTTTCCGGCTTACCCACGTAACTGTTTGACGTGGAACTCGACTCAATACCAGCAGGTAGCACCGCGACAGCCGCGTCGCTGATCACGGAATGCTGCTCATGAATTTGAGCCTCTAGCATGGCTTGAAACTAGTCGAGTTCCTCGTCAAATAATTACATGGGTAAGCCAAAAACATAATAAATAATTTAATATGTCTCACGAATGTTTTAATATAAACAGAAGCTTACACGATTGGATGATATATTATATATTAATGTCCATATTAAACGTTACACGTATTACCCATAAAGTAATTTGGTATGACCATAATCTGTAAGTACCGAGAACATAGTAGAATAACTAATGAATGTTTTACGATATATTGACGTTTGGCGCCACAATATTTTACTTACATCCGGGCTAATGGCTCCTGTACTCAATTGAACACAACTGCATACTAATTATTTTGGTGTTCCAAGGTCGTTGAAGGGACGGATAAGTTACAAAAATGATTTGATTATGAACAGCAATCACTATGCTGAGATTTCTTTTATCTGTTAGTAATTTATTTTATTAATTGTACATTAAAGTTAAAGCGATTTAAAACCTTTAACCTGTCTATGTAACGCTTTTTGATATATGTAAATGTTCTTAAATGATTCTAATTTTGGTTTAGAATGTTTATCTATAGTGAGTGAACAGTCGCTTAAATAGAAATAATGCCAAAAATACAGCAGATCTATACATTTCTCTTAGTAATTTAACATTTTATTTATAAAAGAAAGTCTTGTTAGTTAAAACATTTATGACTCAAGAATGGCTAAATCGATTTGGATGAAAATTGGTGGGAAGGTAGCTTAGAATCAGGAGACAGACATAGGATACTTTTATCCAAGAATTTCTCAAAAATTTTACGGAAACGGGAAAAAGGGGATTGCGCGTACGAAGCCGCAGGCAGAATCTAGTTCTTTATTAAAATTTCAAATACGGATGCTTATAAATCGTGGTATGTAATCGATAATTTTGATGTTATCAAACATCGAATTCCTGGTAAACCGAGCAACTGGGTAGCGAAGCGGTTTGAATCAATACATTCTTTGCTAATGTCGTCCGTCGATTCTATGAATGGCCGCCCATTCATAAGCAGCCAACATTCTTGGCTTATCGCCGCTACAACTGTTCTACACTTGCGACTACGACTTATTTGTCGCAACGAAGTCCTACGAAGATTGTGTTTTCAGTGAGTTACCTACTTATTGTTCGAGTATTATTTTAGAACTGAATTTCAGTATTGTTGCATGTTATTATTTTAATCTTTTGATGAGCTTTTTTGGAAATCGTTTCAAAGTAAGTAAATAATTTCATAATAATTATTTTTTTAATATTAATCTTTTGATTCCGAAACTCATATACCCAGGGGGTGTTTCTACTTTTGTTAGTTTGCTAAAGAGTTTATCTTTTTATGTATACAATCATTCAATTAATTAATTAATCGATCAATATATATTTTTTTTCGTTATAAACTATGCTTTAATCGCAAAGTCGCAAGTGTGCGTCGACACTTTTCTATTTAAACATGCGTTGATGAATGCTCGCGTACATACTTATCTATATAAATACATTCGGCGCTACGCTGTAGTGTGTAGTGTACAATTATACACACACTCTACACATAAACGTACTCATACATTCGGCGTCAGTATACAGAAGTGTCAGAAGTACAGAACAGCAGAAGAAATGGAATGCTATTAAAGTACATGCTTTGGCGTAGAACTGGTTCCTTGTATTGCGGATGTTTATAATATAAAACTAGCCTTCTTCGTGGTCGTCAGAAGAATAAAGTAGCCAGTATTACTCTTCAGCCTCCTACTAACTACTAAAAAGGCTCTGTTGCGACACTTTTGCATGAATAGTGAATAGACTCATCTTTGCTTAGAAATTGATTTTTTGTCAATTCCTCTTTAAATCTACCTAAATTTCAGCTGTATTTTCATCGACCTTCCATGAAGTATTTATGAATCATAAAACATGCATGTTTATTATACATATATCATGAGTCTTCTGGCTATGTCTCATATGTAGAGATGCGCCGGCGTCGACGTACCGCGGTCAGCGAGCCCACGCCGCTAATTTAGACGTAATTGGCCGACGTGATGCCAGCGTACATACGATGCAAGTGAATCGACCATTCCACTACTTATGGGGGGTATTTTTTCAATCGTATTATTGAGAATAATCGGTAAATCGGTAATCTGGGCGTAGAATTTGATTTTCTTTAAAAGTTTTAAGGTTCATCTGAAGGAAATAAATTACCGTAGTTCTGTGACCGCCTGCTATACCTATCGAAAGGTCACGCTGTAAAGATCCTAAAACAAAGGTGTTAAAGAAGTTATGGATAGATATGAAATAGGATTTTTATCTTCGAATAAGTGTAATTACATAAAATAATTTAATAATTAAAAAAAGCCTTCAACTTGACACTTGAACAACAATATTTTGAACTTAAAGCAGTGAATGGACATAAGCCAGTATTCATTACACAATTCTGACATTTCTGACTGTGTTCTGTTCGTATACGAATTGTATATTTTTATATAATAGTATTTTTATATATCTTTGATGCCATTTCGATACTAGGATATACATTCCTTAGTGCACACCACCCAGCGACGCTTCAATAAACAAACAAAGAAAACAACTTACGATACTATATGAGTGACGTATGTTACAATACACGCTGTTATAAAATATAGGTTTTTGAATTCTCGTAATATTTTGGAGTAGTCGATGAGTTCAGTTTTAGGTCGCATTCTCAGAGCCTAGAACTCTCTCTCCTATGCTCTTGTTGGATTCTCTAGGAGGCAGTAAAATAGGCATGAACATTTAGTAGGCTTTTGATATCAAAAATATGTACGTATGTTTTCTAAAACATAATCAATCAACATCTAAACAATGCACAAAATCCGAACGGATATTCTAAATCCTGTGCCAAATAATTTTATTTGATAAACGTAGTAAGATGTCATGATACGCAACGCGTTCCGATTTCTAAACTAGTGTTTTGTGACGTCACTTGTCATGTATCGGCGAACATCAATTGCGGAGTACGAAAATAAAATATTTTCGTGAATGGAGGGATTATATTGTTGTTAGCGAGGCTTAGGGGCTTACTGTTATCGTTTCAAAGATTGTGACGTATGTGTGATGTAAAAATGTACCTGTTTACTTTATTTCATTCAAGGTTTTGGCTTTAGATTGGCATGAGTTTATTGGAATTTCTAGTTTATGGCCCCACGTAGGTCTAAATGGGTTAAAACCAAGAAGATCCAAAGATCTAGTACTCAAACCTTAGGAGTACTTTCAAAGATTCTTAGAACGTCAGCCAAGGACGATGAAAAAAAAAGGCGGACACGATCTCTTGAAACAACGACTGTGGCACCTGGCTACTATAGACTTACACGCAGAACACATTGACACGAAGGACATCTCTTAAGTTTGGTAACGTGGTAACACGCACACATAAAAAACGAAAGTCATTTTGGTGCTTCAAACATTTCTAAGTGACATTATGTCTATGTTCAGCAATGGGTGTCTTGTGGCTGGTCCGAAGATGGTAATGATGACGACTTTAAAACATGTTTTGGATCAGTCGTAGCTCGATATTGAGGTTTATTTCATATTTTACTGCGTTATGCTGTCAGAGTGGTTTTTCACCCCTCTTCCTCTGCAAACGCGTCATTTAAAATACCTTTTATATAAATATTTTTTTATCTAAAAAAAGATAATGTATTTAAAATTAACGCCTGATATGACGTGGCGTGCTAAGCTTAGCTTCACGCGGTGTAAAAATAAATACATTCTCAATGAAGGGATCAACTCTGAAGATAATACTATCTGTGAGGCAAATCTTTTTATTGGTATTGCGCATTTGTATTAAGTTTTCCTCAGTTTTCGTAACACTTCATATAGAATGGAATTCTTACACAAAGGGAGATTCAGTCGGGTGAGTTTTCCGTCAAATTAATTAGCAAATATGTACAGATTGTACGTTTAAGTTACCAATCAATATTATTTAGTGTAATGGTAAATGATTTGTTGTGTTAAAAGTCCAAAGATCGCAGTTAAAAATAAAATAACGGAAGTCAAATATGTTAGGAGGAAATTCTTTAGGAAAAATAACGTGTATTACAAAAAAAATATGTGGACGGCCAGTCACTTTGTTAGATATTATTGCCTTATAGTTGTTTTGGGCATACGGACCAGTTGTAACTCTTAGGGAAGGTTCCAGAAATA